AACGAGTAACTGCACTAGTTACTTGGTTACTAGTAACGAGTAACTGCACTAGTTACTTGGTTACTGGTAACGAGTAACTAATCTCGTTACTAGTTACTAGTAAAGTAAAGGTAAAGTGCCACTCCTATTTACAAAGCGATTCTGAGGTAATTAATAATATTGGTATTTGTAATTTTTATAAACTTACTTCAACAGAAAATCTGAACCAAGCAATATTAGATATGTTAAATGATTTTCCAATAAACATTGATATAATGGGAAATTTAATTAAATGGTTAATACAAAAAATGAAAAGTTTTAAAGGTTTTGATGATACATTATTTTCAATGTACTTGTGTGCAGATCTGTTATCACTGGTCTCTATGTGTGCTCAAAAGGTATTATTATATATTATTTGTATCGAAAAATCACAAATTCTCAAGATTTCGATAAAGCTCAAATGATCAAACTTTTGGAAAAAATTCTTAATAATCATCCGTATTTTCCAGCAAGAGGCAGTACTTTTATTTTACTTTCAGCAATGGATAACTCTGATCACAAAGTAATCATAAATGCAATGAATGCATTATTCGATGAAAATGTTGTGAAAGAATATTCTGCAATTGGAATTCCGCTTACACATTTATCACCAAATGAATTTATCAATGATTTATTGAAATCTTTAAAAAATGAAAGTGCTATAAAAGCCTACGAAATATTAAAGATTTTGACACAATATGCTTTGAATGAGAAAATTGATGCAAATACTAAATCAAAGATAATAAATTACTTAGCAAAAGAAATTGATGAATTAAAATCAAAAAAGCCTATTAGTTATTATTATACAGATATAAAAATTCGTTTTACGACTACATTAAAAAACGAATTATATAAAGCATGAATTAAAATACAAGGACTCTCTGGTAAAACACAATATTATACGAACGTTGAAGCTTCAAAAGAATAATATTACTCTACTTCAAATAACGATCTGCCTTAAGGAATTGTTACTATTATTTTATTAACTATCATTGCTTACCATTTTCTTTCTTATAATAAATATTCACTGTACTTTTACTAGATTCTAGACTGCTGGATTTCACCATTTACTCCTTATTCTAACATCAGTCTATTGCAAATTACGATAAAACATAATCATATTCATTATGCTCATTAAGTACATCACACTTGTTTCGTGCAGTTAATGCGATTAACAAGATTAATGTGTCCGTTTTCTCACCATTGGATAATTGTTGACTATTTACTTGCTTTCTCAATTTTTCTATTAAGTCTATTGTAGATTTTTCTTCAGTGAGTAATTCGAGAATCATTATTGTCAGAAATGATTCTTTGTAGATTTCATTCTTATCAAATATTGGTTTTTTCATTCCAGCTTTCTGTAGCTACAACTGTATCAAGATGCACAGCTATACTATAGGCTGGGTCAGCTCGTTGAGTACTTCCTTGATGAATAATTTCTGCTTAACTTCCTTGTAATGAGCAATGCTAAAAATATTTTCAAAAAGTTGAAACTTTAAAATTGGCTCCTGAATAGTTTTTGTTAATTTGAAAGATTCATTCAAAAGTTCATCACTTTTCTCATCATAGAACTGTGCTACTTGACTTAATGCTCTCGATTTATAGTAGGAGTTGTGCATTGGCTGAATTTTTTCAAGTAAAAATTCTTTAATATTTGTCTTATCCGATAATTTAGGAAGCAAACGATCACAAATCTGACGATAGTCTGAGTCGTTTGACATATTTCCGAAGTTTAGTCCCTCCTGGATTCGGCTCCTCTCCTAGAGTTTTTACATCCGGCTTCAAAAAAAAAATGTTCATTTTTCCTTGTTGGAAAACTACAAAATAATAATACAAATGAAAACAAACGAATAGCAAACGAAAGATGTCTAATTTAGAAGATCAGAGTTGTTCTTGAGAAATGTTAATTTCGCCAACGTTTCTTTTGTACTTCCCCTGTGTTTACCTCGATCGAACACCGGCTCCAGCTCCGACTCCGAACTCAACGCTCCGGCTCCGTTTATAAACGGAGACGGATCCCAGGAGCCGGAGCTGCCCAGCTCTGGTTTTAGTTTCAATGCGTTTACATTCATTTGTGAGCAATTTGGTGTCGTTAAAATGATTTTTCCGATCCTCCACGACAAAATTGGAATGTGTTTCCTGTTTGTGAATACTCGACGAATGTATGGCAATGATAGTAATAGATTGATCGTTCAGAAAACTCGACAATAATCGTTCTTTAATGAAAGGGAGGATTGTACTAACGTCATTGTTTGACGAAAAAAAGGAAAAATTTTAGAAAAAATAGAAGCTTACCTAGCTCCATCTTCTTAACAATTTCCATGCGCCTTTCACTGTTCGCCGTACTTTGTTGAATGTTTTTATCTAATATGATTTTTTCAGTTGATTGAACTTTATGTCTTGATAAATTACCTGAAACGACGTAGAAAAACCATGCAGTTATTTCCGAGACTAAATGTTAACAATAAAATTAACATAACTAATAATAGACTACTCCAAATAGCACAAGTTGGCAATACATTCTTTAGCAGATAATTTAATTTCAAATTTGAATCATGTTGTTTCAAATGTTCGTTTTTAATTACATGAAAATCTTGTTGATGTACTGCATCGAAAATGTGTTGTAATTCTTTCTTGAATTGTGACGGTAAACTATTAAGTTCAGCTTCTTCATCATAGATCTGAATTTAAAAGAAAAAAGAAAATAGTCTGAAGATTAGATAGAAAGTAGAACAGACCTCAAGGAACACAAATCGTCAATCCTCATCTGACATAGATTTTTCTAGATTTCGCGTTTTTTTTTCTCTTTTCTGCTAACTCGATCTGAAAAGGCTAATTTTTTCCACGTTGTGGTTGTTGCAAGCCCATGACTGTTGGATAACATGGAGCTGATAGGAATAAATGTTTTTAGCAATAGAGCTGTTGTGAATTGTCATTTCATAATAGAGTATTCGTTTGTTGCTATTTGATTGTTTTATAATGCCACCAGTAGCGTCCCAGGATAATATTGTATTTGGTTGGTTGACCAAATAATCGTATAATCTAATGGTGGCTTCAGCAGATAAAAGAATAATAAACGGGCTGGTTGCGATGAACTGAATAATGCCGGATAATTTACGTAAAATACATAAAAGAGAAAGAAGCCGATTAGAGTTAAGGAGAAACTACATGCAGACCTTAAGTTGGTACTCCTTACAGATAATTTCTTCTTTCTATTATTCATTAAACAAAGCAAAAAAATACTAGAAACTCACCATATTGATTTACAGTTCTAAAGTATTCTGTTGTAATATTTCTAATGAAACTTCAACACTATTATTCAATAATTGATTTGAAGTGTTTTCATTCTTGATTGTTTTATACACATTGCTGGTAATTCCGGTAGAGTCGTAGTTGTAAGACTGTTTTTCTTCGTTGGATCGTTGGTTGCGCTTCTGAAGAAATGTTGTTGTGCTGCTGGATGATGCTAAAGATTCCTGTATATCACTTCTTAAAGGATGGCGAATTGGCCTAGCCACCGGTCGATCAATCAAATGAGAAACGAAATTTTCATTTCTTTTTGTAGTAACATAGCACTGACCACTATTCAAAACAAAAATAACACATCTAAAAGCACATTTTGACCTTCCCTTGCAATATAAATAGCCATGTAACAAATAATCAGTTGGTTTTGATAAAGATTGCTCTTTGGTCGAGTATTTCACTTTTTGTATACATAATGCACAATGTGGATTATATTTCTTGAAATAGTTATATAAAATGTAAAACCATGAGACGTCAACCTTCCGCTTGATAAGATCACGTTGATTTTGTTTAGAGTTCTTGTTAAGTAGAAGTCGAGATGGGCGATGATGATGATGAGGATTACTACTGTTAGATGCGAAGAATTGGTGTTTCTTTTCGATGATATACCCATTTGTGTTCATTTTATATTTCGACACCGTTGTTGAAATTCAGCTTTTTTTCGGTTTAGTTTAATTAAATTGTATGGTTCAAGCCGAAATTGATACGTTGTGGGTAATTCTTTATCGAAATTAGTGCAATTTCTGTTTCGTTTGCTACGGAACAAAGACGAGTTGTTTCTTCCAAATCTTTATCTAAAATACAGAAAAAAACCAAACATAATTAGAAATAGAGAATACTACGGAGAACAGAAACAGGTTATATAAGCCGATGTTCTTACCTTTCTCATTATTCTTTGTTATTGTTATGGTTGATTTTGACCCACCTGCAATGCCTTGACCTCCACTAGTTCTACGGATATGTCGAATAAAAGCTCGTTCTTGTATGAAAACGACGCTAAATTAAAGCATAACACTTACCAATATCATTTTTATTTCTATTTTCTTCTTTATCGTTCTCAATATTCTTCTGCTGTTGTTGTTTATCGAAATAACCGCTGTAGTTCTTAACCAGGTGTATATTATAATTAATAGGATCATATGGATTGATGCAGACAAGATGATCTAAATAGAAGCAAGAAGAAAGAACATTAAAAATCGCATAAATAATCGCTAAGACGAAGTCGAAATAAATAATAGGCTTATAGGCTATGAAGTTTTCTGTAAAAAGTTTAGTTTAGATTAGCATGATAATCAAATAATTTTCCTGCTCTTCGCTCAATAGCGGTAAATAATATTCATCAACGAATAAACGTATTTCATTCTATGATTACGTGAAACTACTGAATGATTAACTAACTTTTTTCTGGATTAATTTGTGAATATCCTTGTGATGTGTTGGATATGGCTGTGGTTGGTGGCGATGTTCCATGTTTAACGTAGCACAGGATGGTTCAATACTTGTGATAAATCAACGTTGATCATTGGAGAGTCGTCTGCTCGGTACCATAGTATGTTTGGAGCGTGAACAAATGAATAATAATGCCCACTCTCAGCTGTACTTCCAGCATGTATCAGGATACAAAATAAACGATAATAACAGTGGTTGATGGACGTTGTTTGTTGAGTTTCTTCACTAAGATAATCATAATATTTAAAAATTGTGGATATTGAACTAGATGAACTAATTTTTGAGATGCACAACCATATTGAAACCTTTTCAGTTGTAATAATAAAATATTGGGTTATTGGTGTATTGTATAACGTTTTCTAGCTATCGCTAAATGACAATTTTCAGATTGATATAAATTATCATCTTCCATTATTTCAGGCGTTACGAAATTCTTTAATGATTGTTGAATATAATAATGATTTATTATTCTTTGATTAATGACGTTTTGGATGTTAATTGGCCAGAGAAAATTTGATTCATAGTTGTCGATTATTTTATTGCATTTCAAACATGTAACTCGAGATTGTAATAGAAGGCTTAATATTGAATGAATTGGAGTTTGGTTGTGACAAAGATGTTGATATTCAGTTCCAGCAGATGGTAGTAGACATTGACGTGGATGCAGAGAATGTAGATAGTGAATAATCATTTTATCTATCAAGCCACTGAGGAATTCAGCTGAATCTTCTTGATGAGATGGACGGAGTGATGGTGATATTTCTTGAATGTTGTTAATAATTGTCGTAGGTGTAACCGGTAATAAAGAATATGATGACGATGTTGTTGTGGTCGTTGAAGTAACCATGTTGATTTTGTTTTGAATTTCTTTATGATGAATTAGTCGGGTGATATGTTCAAATGCACACAACAAGCATAATTCGTTCGATAGTCGAAGACTATCTAAACACAGAAAGAAAGGTGAAAGTCCAGTATGCCCAACTACAATCTGAAATTTTAAGTTGTCCTAGTAGAAACTAAAATTTTAGAGTTGATAAGGGCGAATTTGGAATAAAACGCGAAGCAAATTTCGCTTTTTTAATAACTTTTTTAATTCTTAACATTTTTTGAAATCTGATTCGACAGATCTCTCTAGCAGATGATGGCCCATC